AGACTGAGACAGGCAATTTGGGGAGAGACCCAAATTGCATATATAATGAGCTGATGCTGTAGGTTCTTAGACCGCATTTTGTTTTGCAAGTGTCTAGATTTATTTTCATGTAAGGAACTGTGAAAATTCATTGTGTATGTATACATTTCTCTGTTTTTCAATTTTATTATTTATTAATATGCAATGACATATTTAATGCTAAATACCTACAGTTGTATATATTTTCCCTGCACTTTCTAACCTATACTATAGATTCATAATCAAGTCTTGTGCCATACTACAATAAAATCAATAAAGCTTTGCAGGATGTTTTAATATTTAGTCAAGAACATCTCTGCCAATAGCTTTTCAAGGCCTACAAAACAGTTTTATTTAAATAGGAATTGCATTCACTCTAGTGAATTTAGTAAGAAGTAATTGTTTATTAAATTTTTTCTTCCTATTCAAGAACAAGGAATTTCTATACTTTCCTGAATCTTTTTTATGTCTCTGTTTTGGATTGAATCTTTGTGTCTGTCCCAAAATCCATACATTGGAGCTCTATGCCCCAGTGTGATGGTATCTGGAGGTGGGGCATTTGGGAGGGAATACTGTTAGGAAGCAGTCAAAAGAGTGAGGCCACTGTCATGGGATTAGTGTCCTTATAAGAAGAGGAAGAGACTCTCTCTCTCTCTCTCTCTCTCTCTCTCTCTCTCTCTCTCTCTCTCTCCCTCCCATGTGAGGACACACAGCCAGAAGGTACAATTTGCAAGCCAGCAAAGAATCCCTGACCAGGAACCAAATCTACCAGCACCTTGATCTTGGCCTACCCAAGCTCCAGAACCGTGAAAAATAAAATTCTGTTATTTAAGCCACTCAATCGATTGTATCTTGTTTTCAAAGCCTGAGTCGACTAAAACAGTATCTTAGAAGAATCTTACTGTTTTCTCTAAATATGATCCTTATGTTTATATATTCAGTTGGTCTTCCTATGGAGCAATTTGATTATTTCTAGCAAGTTTCAAACTGGTTATTTTGCATTTTTAGTTAGAAAAACTATGGAGTCCCTTTGGAAATATTTTTCTTCCTCACTTACTTGGAATTTAGTTTGGTTACTTCTATATTTAAATTTCCATTTATATTTTTATTTTAAAAAAGACAATCTCATGTTCATTATATGGGTACTTTTGAATTTTCTACTTGTGCAGAACATGTCATCAGATGAGATATGTAGTCATGCATTCATTCAGAAAATCCCTACCACTGACTAGACACAATCTATACGCTGGGACCATGGGAACAGAAAGGAAGGGCTCCACTCTTAAGGACTGTTTGGCAAAAACATTTGAACAATGAAATAGGAATATTTGGTAGAGTATAAAAAATTCATGACTTTATTTTTAATTATACTGGATGTTTCATAATACAGAGAGCAAGCATCCAGTTTGAATGTGGTAAATTAGGACAAACTATGAGGGTAAGATATATTTGACTTTTGAAAAGTATAGATATTATTCATTCAAAGAAGAGAGATGGTTGGTTGGAGTGGGGGTGTCTGATTCACTAGAATATATCGATCCTTGTTTAGCAATATTTTTTATCATTTTTAGTATAGTGATGAATACATTGATGGTATTTCTGAAATCTTTACTAGAAAATATCTGTTGGACAAAACAATGGAGGGATGTTGGGATCTATTCTTAAGTCTCTTGTCATGGGAATATTTTGTTTATTGCCAGTTTTCCCCCTTGGCACTATAAATGCAGTTTTTTGTGTATTATTAGACCATAAATCTTTTACTTTTTCTTTCTTTTTTAGCTACTGAGTATGCTGCATCTTGGAGCACCCATATTGCCATCTGCTGCCCCACGACCCCTAAGTCATATGTGCGACTTCTGTCAACGTCTACGTTGTTACAGGCAAAAATCGCGAGGAGCATATGGTTTTCATTCTACCAAGACTTTCATTTCACGCTGTTACCAGAAGGGTTAGAAATCCTGATTGGATGGGAAGGAGATTAGCTTTTTCCCTAGTGGAATAATTTCATTATAACAGAGGGGTCACCTCCCTAAGCTAAATGTGAAAAGAATAATAGAAAGAGTACAGATCATGGGGAAAAAAAAAAAAACTAGAAAGGCTTTGTAATAAATTTTGATATGACTTCAGAGAGTACATCCTCACTTCATGTATTTGAATAAACCCTTTAAAATTTGGGTAACTAAATTGTTCTATTTCAATTCCCACTTTTCTCATTTACATCACTTTTATACATCAAGCACCTTCCACTATCTGGCTGATGTATAGAATAAGAAGCATTTTCAGGGCGCTGACTCTTCTGGTCTATCCAAGTTCACTGAAAGGACCTATTTAACCCCTAAAACATCAAACACCATTAATACAGTGTAACCAAAGAGCTAAACTCTACCCTGACTAAAGAACTTTAAAAGAAATATGAAGTCATCAGGTATCTCAATGACTTGTTTCTTATTGACATCAGAAACATCCATGTATTTTATAAAGATGCACTAGAAATAAACCAATGCATGAATATAATTTGAGCTTTTTACATATCTTTATACCTTTATTCCTGATATGAGGATTTTTAACTTAAAGTTTTTCCAGTGCACTTTTCTCTGGATACTATTGAAATGAGTAGAGGTGAGTTCTGCATTTGGCTCTAAGGTGACTTGCAAGAGTAAAGATCCTTTGCTGTTTCATTCAGTGAGACCTAAAGTAGTTCTGGGGTCCTTCTCAGCATGATCCTCAAAGGTTTTTATAAACTCCTATACACTAATATGTCTCCAGAGAAGATATTGCCCTATCAGTGACATTGACACCTAGAATGAGGAAAATGTGGGACTGAGATAATGGGGTTGGTATAATGTGATAATTCTCAAGCTCTATTCTGTAATATAAAGAGAAAAAGAAAGAAAAAAAGGCAGGGAGGCAGGATATCAGGAAGGAAGAAAGGAAGGAAGGAAGGGAGGGAGGAAGGGAGGAAGGGAGGGAGGGAGGAAGGGAGGAAGGAAGGAAAGAAGGAATGAAGGAAGGGAGAAAGGAAGGGATGGAGGAAGGAAGGGAGGAAGGAAAGGAGGAAGGGAGGAAGGAAGGAAGGAAGGAAGGAAGGAAGGAAGGAAAGAAGAAACAAAAGAAGGAAGGAGAAGGAAGGGAAGGAAAGAAGAAACAAAAGAAGGAAGGAAAGAGGAGAGGGAGGAAGGAAGGAAGCAAGGAAGAAGGGAAGGAAGGAAGGAAGGAAGGAAAGAAGAAACAAAAGAAGGAAGGAAAGAGGAGAGGGAGGAAGGAAGGAAGCAAGGAAGAAGGGAAGGAAGGAAATGAAGGAAAAGATATATTTTTCTAAAGGTGAAAATATGAAACTTAAAAGACCATCTATTGTTATAAGTATGCTTTCTCTATTCTTCTAATATAAAGAAGCCTTTTATTTTTTGTGGTAAAGAAATGGCAAATTCTTCATTTTTTATGCTTGGCAACTGTATGTCAGCCTCTCCTCACTTTGTTTGGATTATTCTGGTGCATGAAATCAAGGGGACTGAGAACCATTGTACTGGCCAAAGACGAAGTGACCTGCAGTCAGCCCAGTGACCTTGGGTCTTAATCCTAATGAGGCAATAAACGTGAGGTTGGAAGTAAGTCAGTGTACTTATCTTGGCAGTATTTTTCTCATATATAGAAATGGACTTTACACTACAGCTTATCCAAACTCTCTATAGTTCAAAATATAGACCGCTGGACTGGCAAAATTATCAGTCATGATAAAGTATTTCCATTTTCTAAAATGTCTGTCAATAATTTTTTTTTTCTAAAGAATTTTTTCCACTTTTGGTCATATGCTGAAAGACAAAATCTATGAGAACACTTCACTACCAAAAATTATGGCACATTAGTAAACCTCTTGATCACAGTGTGGTGGCTGTTACTAGTTTATAAGTGGTGCTTGAGGCAGTTTTCAGCAATGTGCTAGGTATTTAGAACCTTCGTAAGACGGGGGTGGGGGGGAGAAGGAGAGCATTGGGATGGGGGAAGAGAGTATGAGAGAGGTGTGGCCTCTTCTCTTTCCTATTTGTATTTCTCCTCCTTCTTTTCTTTTCATCTATCTAATCTTGCAGAATCCTTCTTAAAATTAAACAGATATCCTGTTCCAACCAAAAGCTAGATACACAAAGACCAAGAAATAAGTGATGAGCTTCAGGAATGAACTTCAGAACATGTGAAATCGAAAAGCTTTATAGTAATGTAATGTGTTGATTTTATTTTTCCTCAGGTACTTACAAGTAAAAGAAATATAATTTAAAAAAATTATAGCGTAGTCCCAGGTGACATTTAAGAATTAGACAGGTGAACTTAAGTTTATTTTTGTGGTCTGTCAATGCATTAAAAACTAAATTTAGAAAACTATTTTCTAAGACATTGGTTATGAATATAGATGTTAAAAATAACTCTTGGGAAAATCAACCTGCAATTGAAGGTCATTTACAGTGAGTTACTGAAAAAGAATGTGAGGGGAAAAAATCAACTGGTCACTATCAAATAATAAGCACATCCCCTCCCATCAGAATTGCTTTTTTTAGCCCATATCAATCGGAAATGTATTGTATATTGTTCCTTTTATCATAGTGCAAAGTTAATAGATTATAACATGTACATTTTAGTTTTTACTGAGGAGGAGCAAGTATGATAAAAACTTTGAACTTAGTAAATACAAATACACACAAACACACTCCCATATATAAGTTGTGGTATATAACATGATATATATGTATATATTCAGTAGAGTATTAAGAACAGAATGAGGAGAGTCCTTGGGAAATATCAGAAATAGAATGACTTTAATTTTAACAACGAGTCTATAGGAATTAATGACATACATGTCACAATTATTTTGCATCTTATTTTAGTTAAAAAAATGTGCAGTCCGAGTGAGACCTTTGTTCCACACACGTGTGTACTGTGCATGTTCTTTCTAAGTGGGCTAGTTTTGTTCTCATGCCATGGGAGCAGGTGGCATGAAGCTGTTTTGATGAGGTTAAAAGGCTCCTCCCCTCTCTCCCCAAGCAGCAGCCTGAAGTACGTCAGCAGTAATTGTGTGCATGGCTCGGCTGTGCAGGGAGGGTGGAGGCAAAATTGATATCAAATAAAGGTATCAAACTGAGATCTAGATGTTCCATTTAAGTTGTTGCTCATTTTCATTAGCCACACCAGGGATGAAATGCTTATAACTTAACCATTCTCTGTAGTAAGAACATTTGTTTTCAATGGATTTATATTTTTCCTCTCCATAAAGACTGAATTAGTGCTATAGTGAATATAAATGAAGGGTGTTTCTTTACCCTCTTTTCCTTTTATTATTTACTAATCAGACTTCAGCTCAGTTAGATAAAAGAGAGAGGTTCTGTTGCCTAGATGTGAGGCCTTTAATGAGGATGGGAGCCCCCAGGGAGCCGAAATCCAAACTAGAACGATGCCGCTTTCCGGTTTCTTGCAATTTCTTCAGTTGCTTCTTCTCCCTTTTCCAATGGGCCTAGTGAGCAGGAACTATCCAAGGTGCTAGAACGCTGGCAGCCTTGCCGTTCAATGCAGACGGATTGCAGAAACAGAGAAGAAAGATTACTGCTTATTTCAGAAGGTAGGTTCTTTGTTTCAGAATCCCTGATTAATCAGCAGCAGCTTCAACAGACTAAGGCAGCTGGAGAGGAGAAAGAGAAGCAGGAAGGGAGGGAGTCAGGGGCAGGGAGGGAGGGAGGGAGTGGAGGGAGAGAGAATGAGAGAGAGAGAGCTGGTTGTCACGGGGGAGGGACTATGCCACAAGCTGGGCTGCTCCAAACCTTCTGTATGTAAGTGGCAATGAGAAAGAGCATCTTTTTGGCTGAAAGGAGACATTTAGAAAGGATGTTTCTGATTTTTTGTTTTCATTTATTTTTGTCTTCGCAGAATATAATCAAATGAGGTACCTTAGTCAGCTTGGTGATTGCTTCGGGTCTTGTAATCATCTGTGTAGCAAAGTGGGTAAAATCATTCAATTTCTTCCCTGCTGGACCTGGAAGGAGAGGGGTTGTGTGTTCATCCCCACCCATTAGCTATGCCCTCTTTTCTCCGAATGTCGATTTAAGGAAGCAAGCACCTGTCTTCTGCCACTGCATCTTCCTAGCAAACTTTAAAGGCCATTTTATCTGATAGGAAGGACATTGAGAATGCTCTGATCTAGTGATGAAGAATCTCGGAGTCGACACTTTTCCCATCCTGACACAATGCACTTTAATTGAAGAAACACTGAGCTGAACTACAAGTCTATCTCTTATGGTGCTGGATTACTCCTACAGAACTGCCCTGAGATCAACCGTGAGAGGGGGCTCTGACAGACACAAGTCACCTTCTGGTTATTGCACTTAGCTCTCCCTGGGGACTTAAATTTTGGTATGTATCTCATTTTTCAGATTCTCTAAGCATGCTAATTGAATCCAGCACTAAATAGATCAAGCAATCTAGTGGTAAAATGGAATGGATTTTAGTTAGGGATACTTAATGCTGAAGTTTGCATGCCTTATTAGGTGGAGCAGAAATAAAGCCACAGTGAAGGCATCCAGGGCTTTAGTGAGCCTGAGGCTATTTTTACTCCCTTACCCACTTAGTTACATTACCATGGAAATGGTTAAACTAGATTTTCATTAGTAAAATAAGCCATGTTGAATTATTAAAAGCATTGAAAATGTTTTCCAGGGTATTAATTGGCATTCAAGTTGTGCATGCTAGCTATTTATCTGCTATTCTATACCATAAATATTTTACAACAGTCTCTTAGCACATTTGTGTCAGCAGTGAGAGCCCAATTTTACATTCTCAGGAAAAAAAGACACAGTACCCCCCAAAATTCAAAACTACCAGACAAACAGCAAAGCTGACACTGCTTCTTCCTGACTGATTAGACACTTTGAGAAACATTTTTAAATACTATTCAATGTCAGAAAGATTTTATTAGTCTCATCACAATAAATATTTTCTGTAAAACTTTAGGTGGACTTGTTTTACTTGGGACATGTTCTTATTTTGTTGAGGTGTCTCCATCCTAATTTTTCCAACTACTCAGCAATATTTTAAATACAAGACATGTAGGTATTTCGTATCTGGAAAAACTGTTACATAAAATAGTATTTTTCACTATCATTAGGAAATACTAAAGTTGTTTTGGTACCATAGAATTTGATTTTTTTCTAAATATAGCCAAAAAATAATGAAATTCAAATGAAAAGGTTACATGATGTAGTTTTAGTCATTTTAACATTCAAACATTTATAACCAAGTAGTGTGGAATAACAAATATAGAGAAAGAGTTAAAATTAAGTCTCTTCCTAATTCTTCACATTTTAGACAATGTTCCTATTTATTTTATGTATTGTCAAGCAAGCACCAATTATACAAAGTAACGAGAAAATGTGGTCCATAAATGCAGAAATTATTTTGTTTTCCTATGGAAAGTGCAACATACATGAGCCAACTCAGCAAAGAAAGGGACTATGTGAAGGACACAGATAGTTTAGAGAATTAGTAGAAACAGACCAGAGAAAAATATTGCAACTGCACAAGGGACAGTGGAGAAGCCTGAGAACTTGAAGCATCTGTCAAGTTTAGAAAGAGAAGTGTAAAAATCCTAGACACAAGAAGGTTGGCTATTGTTTAAAAAAATAAATAAATTATAGACTCCCAATTCAATTAGATGGTTCCCACTGTAGCTCCAGTCAGCAATTTATTAGACTGACTACATCTACTTTGCAAATAATGCCTTGTAAGCATCTGGAACCATTTCGCCCAAGCCTCCAAAAAGTATCTCAGCCACTGGCATTTTGCATGAGTCTCTAATATTAATGGAAATGTACAATCCCTTTACACCATGGGCATACAGCACCATGACAACCTGGAAGATGAGGGGGAGATACCAATTCATGATGCTACTGCATTAACACGATTTATGCCTATTTTACTCATTTTGGGAAGAGAGACCGTGGAAAAAACTCACTGCAAAGTAATCTGCTTTCTGAGAAAAAAGCAATCAGTGTCTTTGTAGTCACTTTAGCAAGCTTTCTTGGTTGTAACTTCAACATTTCCCATTTTGGGCAGAACAGCTGCATTTTGATGACACTGAGAATGAGAAAATGAGTGTGACCATTTGTGGGGTAGGGAGTAGGATTTCAAGCATAATCAAAGTGAAATTATAGGAGTAATGCTTGATAAATTATAAGATTTTTATCAGAAAAAATTTGACATGGTTTACATGTGTTATGGGTTATAACCAGGCTAGCCTGATGATTTGGTCCTATGTGAAGTCAGCAAATTTTAAATATTAATTTGCATATGTATTTTACATATGTATCAGAAGCCTGATTATTTAAATACTTACATTTTCATACACAATGTATTTTCAAATTGGTTTGAGTACATGCAAAACTTGTAAAAGATCTTTTTCTCCTGCTGAACAAAAACAACAAAAATTAGTCGAAATTGCCTTGGGAAACTTTTATTGGATCAATAATATGAGGAAACAAAAATAGGATTGTCTACCTCAAAGAAGATGCAATGATTGGAGTAGGAAGAAACTCAAATCTTAGTAACTCAAATTCTAATAACTTCCTCACAGCATTGAGACAGGTGTGGTTTAAAGAGCTCAGAAATATATAAAGGTGGAGACTAGAAAACTTTCCCCTCTTCAAATAAAATAAAAACACATATGTGAAGTACAATAAAAGTAAAATATTTAGGTTTCAATCAGGATATTTATTCCATTCTATGTATTGTGTTCTTCTGGCTGGTCCCAAGTAGCATTATAATAATCATACAAAATAAACTATCTTATTATAGCTATAAGATTATCTTGTAGGATTAACTGTGGCCTAAAATTAAGGAAGCTTCTCATAGAGCTTCAGGTATTAGGATTAGGAATCCACTTTCTCCCAAGACAGAGTCTTTTCTCTCTCCACCACTTAGTATATGTGGCAAATAACCAAGTTAACGGAGTTGTCACAACTTTATATCTTGGAAAATAAAAGTTTCAGATTCCAGGTAAATACCTTAATAAAAGATGCCTATGAAGGCTACTGGACTAACTTACTCAGATGATACTAGTACCTATAAAGCTCTGCTTTTGGTAAATGGAGATAAATTGCCCATTGGAAGGCTCTGCCTGACAAATCAGTGTACGTATCTATTCTAGCCAGTCCTTATAGAGTTAGAGTGCTTGATATAGCAATGTATGAAATTATACTCATGAAGAAATTTGTTCTGAAGCAAAGGGAAGAGAAATGCTTAACCATGCATGAGAAGGAAGATGGCATGCCTAATATTTATCTTACTCTTTGTACACCATTGATTCAACAATATCTTGTAATTAATCAAAAACCCTCTATACCATGGGGAACTCAATCTTGATATTAGTTGGTGCCACATTAAATACCCTCTGGTAGATTGAGACCACACACAACTGATACCTTAATTTACAATGGGAATAGCCCACATAAATCTATAATCTTAGTTCAATTCTTTTGCATACACATGTTTCTCAAAAATGCTGCTTTTTTTAAGCTTCGGAACTAAGGGTCACATAGTGTCTTAGCTTCTTGACTTCTCTGGATGGAAGCAGTAGCAGGAAACTATAGAAAAAGAAAAAATGAGGTGTTTTTTAAATGTTTTAATGTTTCTATGAATTCCATTTGGACATACCATACTTAGCTTATGCTCCACATGTGTATATAATGGGTAGTTTTATTTCAGTGGAAACAATTGTAAAGAAATGGAATGTTACCTTCAGCTCTAGGTTCAGCATTGGTAAAGTATAATGATGGCCTTGCACAAAAGAAAACAAGAATATGGTTAACTCAATAAACAGTTACATGCTTAGCATTTGATTTATGGTAAGAATTCCATCAGTTTAATTTGGTGCAATTTAGCTGGGTGGAATGAAATTTCAAATTTTGAGAAGTGTCACAGTATTATACAAAGTGATCTTTGTGAAGGGTGTGGTCAACATGATGTAAATAACAAAGTGAAAGAATAAAATAAAGCTGAACAGTTAACCATACAGCTGTGTGAAAGCCAACATCTGTAACTTACATTAGAATGGCTATGATTCTAGATACAGTAATCTAAAAACTTAAACAAAAAGAGTCTTTTATGAATGCAGAATACCACAGTGGAGGAAAGGCAGAGAAAGGGAGGATGTGAAGGTATCTGTAGATTGTACAGGAAATCTGATCTTGGTCATTTTAGGTGCTTTCCCAGGAGGGTCCTGACACAAATTTTAAATGTTGGCCACAAATTTCAAGGAATGTACACACAGTGTTGCACTACTTGTATCAATATTGTGCATTGCAAAGAGAATACATCTGTCTTCTAAATGAAGACCAAAGATGCTCATTTTCAACCAATGCTCAGGGAGCAGGGAAGGGGCTAAAATATCTAATTTGTTTTGAGCAAAAATGGCAACAGACTCAATGAACTCAATTAAAGGGGATGAACTCAATTAAAAGGGATGCCTATAGAAAAGCCAGAGTTCCACCTTAGTCTCACCCACTCTGTTGTCACAAATACCCCATGCACCAGCTAATGGTCGTTCAGTAAGTCAGACTCCCTTACTTACTGAGACAGAGCTAAAGATGCTACCTGGAGGAGAGGGGCCATTTGCCTCTTAACAAATACGGTCTTCTAGGATGCCAACATAGGATTAGATGTTTGAGGCAAGCCTTTATAAAATTCTTGCATACCTTATTGTCATTTAAGGACCACAAATAAACTTGACTTAATATCCAACAGTCAAAATGCAGCCAACTTTTTGGTGGTTTACAACATACCCTATTCAATATCTACCTTAGGTGTAAATACAAATTTCAAAAAATCAAAGAGATTTATGGTTGTACCTGTCTGTGGGTTCTCACTGCTTTGAATTGGTAGCAGTTGTAATGAAGCAGACAATGAACATAAGGTTGTCTTTTCTTTAGTGAGGCCATGAATCTATTTACTCATAGTTCAGTTGCCTGAGAAACACTTCTGGCTTGGAAGGGTGGAGATCTAGGGTTTGAGAGATGGGATGAGCTTCATAGTCCATATGTCCCAGTTTCTTTATTTTCTTTATTTTCTGGATGTGGACAATGGGGGACAATGGTTATGTGGAGCTGTCCATATATATTTGATTGGGGGAAGAATGTACGAACTCCTAACCTGGCCTCCATTTACAAATGCATGTTGAAGGAAGTTGCACTACAATAAACATTGTACTTACCTTTGTTTCAAAGTAAAATTACATTTATCAAGGGGTTATATTATTATTAAATATAATTCTAGCCATGTTTAAGAATTGTGAAACTAGCAGTAATGTTATGACTATTAATAATGGTTGAATTTATGGAATTTGCATTTCTAACTCAATACTCACAACATGAGTCTATTCCAACCACTACTTTTTTTAACGTGGAAATTGTAGCTGAAAAACGTTAATTAACTTGTACGAAGTCTTAGAGCTAGAGGTGCCTTCACTGGGGCTTATAGGCCGTTCTGCCAGCCTCCTTATCCATGCTCTTCAGGACAGCCTCACAGCCTCCTCAATATTACAAACTATTATACTTTTTACATGTGGACAAGTAAACAAAGAGGTGTGATGTTTAAACATTGATTGGGCCTGTGTTCATTTTCAGAGACTAAACACAATCGTCGAACAATGTTTCTTGCTCACCCTTAAAAATAGTGAAAATAAAACGTGTATGACTAACTAGTGAGGTCCACCTAAATCAACACTAGTCACAAGTAGTGCAATTATTTATTTATTTTGCTCTAACACTGCCATGAAGACATCTAGAGGGACACAATTCTGCCTTCATGAGGACTGTTCATAACACGTGCTCAACAAATACTCGAATAAATGAATGGTCATGGAATTTAACACTTTTCTAGAATTAGGTGGCAGGAGCATGTGTACAAACATTTATCCAATTTTCATTACTTTGAAGTTTTACTAGATATGATGGTTCATTTTCATCTCAAAAAAATTGATCTCCATTTTCTTTTAAATGCATCTTTCTATAGTGTAAATACTTCATAATATTATTTAATATTTTCTCAGAACAAAAATAATTTAAATTCCAGCCAATTTGAAAGACTACTTAGGAAGATAATTAGTTTTCAGAGGTAAACAAGTAGCCCTATTGATATTGGAATATATAAACTGTGTAGGAATCTCTGGTGTCATTTTGGTTGGAGGAAAACTTAAGGAAAAAAAAAAAAAACAACTTTGGGTAATAACGCCTTATTCAAATGGGAAATATACAATTTTGCTAGAGGGCAGGAAGGAGTGATCATCATCCAGCCGGAGGCATTATCTCTAGAATTCTTGTAATAGTGACTTGGCTTGCTTAACTTGGGTAGAATTAATTATTGTGAAGTTATGCTGATCATTTTTTATCCAGGCACTAGTAAGGACTAGTGCTTAAGTCCTTGGTAGAAGTGAATTCCTGACAATGGCAATGCTTTAGCTCTCTGAGAACCATTTTCTTGTATTTTTCCCAAATTGCAATCATTTGTAGCATTAATTTGCTATTCTTAATGTCCATCACATAAGCATCTAATCTGACAGACTGATACTAAAATACAATTCAATTACACCAGATAGTTGGAATTAAAAGGCCATTTCATTTGCTAACCCATTACAGCTTAACATAAAACAAAACATACAAAAACTTAACATAAAAATGAAGAGTTAACAAACAACCTTATCTAGACTCCAGTTTCAATAATTTCTTACATAGGAGAGAAAAATCCTTAAATTCAGCATAGATTCCAAATCAAATATGGATTGACTGGCAGCTGAAATGCTAATAAAGTCTGATGAGAAGTAAAATTTCCATAGTTATTATCCAGATTTTGGAACATGATTATACCTGTAAAAAAATCAGAATGAAAATTATTTGTAATTGAAAAAGCGAAAGTCTGGGAGTTTTACATCAAATAGTTGGGCTGATATTTTAAAAATATCTTTCTAAGTCTTTTAAAGAAAGTAAAACATGCAAGGGAATTGATAACTTTTGAATGGAGAATTTTTCCCCCTTGTTAATTGACTTTGCTTTTGGTTTTTTAATCTGATTCAATTATACCAGTTTCTTATACCACAATTAATATGCAATTAGTACAGTAAGCCTTCGTTCCATCCATCTGTCCATCTACCCATCTAACCACACATATACATTTGATGTTACTATTGCTGCCAGTTCATACTTTTTAATGATAATATTAGCTAATAGTATTATATACTTACTATTGTTTAACTCTATTCAAAATTATTTACAGTCTTCACCTCTCCTAACCTTCACATCAGCAGGAGGTAGGAGTTAATACTAGCATCATTTTACAGTTGAGAGTAATATATACTAATTGAAATTCCTATGCTTTTTTGTTTTGTTTTGTTTTAATTTTGGTTTCTCAGTAATCCTTTCTGAGGCTCAAGTTTTTAAAACTTCATGTAACAGTGAGACAACAGTTGTCAATGCTTGAATTACCAGACTGGTCAGGATTAATGTGGTCCTAGTGATCTATGACATGTTAGTTGTAGTATGAAGGCATTATGGAGGACCATTATGGAGAGGAATGAAGAGTTAAAAAGGATTCTTTTATAGACCTGTTATATTAGAAATGTGTTTTTCTTTTACTACTACTATATTTTGCATAAATAGTTCATATTCATACATTTTAATTTCAAAAATTAAGGGAAGCACATATATGTACAAAAGTTCTTTCCAAATAATTACATCATTTTCCTTGAAATTGAACAGAAAAGTCTTTATGGCAATCAGAAATACATGAAGCTTGGATCTTATATATCTTCTTTGTGTAGAAACATATTTTAAGAAACAAAATTATTATTGTAATTATGCAAACCAAATGTTTAACTTTGCATACAGTATTTACACCTTCACATCATCTTATAGTTCAAGACCTTTGGCCTTTGTCCTGCTAGTGTTGCTACTTTAAGAGAGGGTTTGCTACTCAGGTAGCACTTATTTAACATTTACTTCAAATATTCTGGCTGCAATTATTCTAGTGAGACATTTTCTCCAATCAGATTTGGTCATAATCATTGGAGATTTGAGTTGTTAGGGATAATAAACAGCACCTTGCTTTTTTCCCTACCCTGGATAAAAGTAAAATGTGTTCTCACCCTGCAGGCAGTGTTCCTCTTTACATGATATCCTCCAAGATGATGAGTTCTAATCCCGAGGAAGACCCTTTGGACACATTTCTCCAGTACATTGAGGATATGGGGATGAAGGCCTATGATGGCTTGGTTATTCAGAATGCATCAGATATTGCGCGAGAGAACGATCGCTTGAGAAACGAAACTAACCTGGCCTATTTGAAAGAGAAGAATGAAAAACGCCGAAGACAAGAAGAAGCAATAAAACGGTAAATATAAATAAAAGTATTTCAAGTTTTGTGCACACAAGAAAGTCCATGAGGGCTGTTAAGGCTGTGATGTTGTCGCTTGGTCAGAAAAGGTCTTTCAGAGTCAGTTAGATCTGGCGAGAGTATATGAAAGTGAACCCTCAACTATAACAAAAACATCACCTACCGTGCCAATATCATCCTTAGTTAACAACAGTTATTTCCTTATGTGTGTGCATATGCAGCTACAGACGGGATGGGGAAAAATTCAGTTTCCTCTGAACAAAAGCTTATGCTCAATAACCTCTTGGCAAAGGCTCAAGGGAAAACACAAACCTTTCAATAGCCCAAGTTTGATGAAAATCCCTACCTTTAATGGCTTTTGATTATAGTTCTTACCTTTAAATAGAGCTCATCGTCTTTCTAGGTTATGGCCAAGACACATCAAGAATTATACTTATGTGAGCCTCTGAAGGCAGGTAGAATCCTCACGGTGTGCTCTCCCTATGCAGAATTTTATGGCTGTTAAATTTCTTGTTTGGTACCAAGTACCACAAGTTTGTTCAAACGGAATTACTTTTATGATGCAAAACCTACCAGCTACTAGCTGATAAGCCCCAGACGGTAGCCTTCCAAATTGAGGTTACATTTCCTAGAGTGCTGACGCCAAAAGAGGAATGCATATCTTTTGATTTTTTAAAAAGAATGTCACAATGTTTTCAGTTTGCATGTGTGTGTGTTCTGGTGGTACAAGGAGACACCCTGTGTCAGATGGAATCCTGTTTCTTCAATAAAGTTCACTCACTAAGTGAAAAATCCAGAATATAGGGACTTAATCTATATCAATTAGCTTGATAACTGAATAATAATAATATGAAAGACATTTTGATGGTTAATTGGGAGATTTTTCATCTAACTAGGCGTTAATACTTTTGCTTATCATCTCTGAACGCTATGATATTTAAAAAACCAAAATATTATCTTAAAATGAATTATTCATGCTTTCAAAGAAGCTAGGTAAGATCACACTACTCCAATAATTTAATTAAAAATAACTGTATGGAGAGAGAGAGATGATTTGAAAGCAAAAAGCTAGAAATAGAAAGGAATGGTGTACAAGATTGTTTTAAAAGATAACTCGTTTTTCTCCGGACTATTAAAATGAAAATATATTATCAGGTATAAAAATTGCATAATTTATCAACATTTTCACAATTGCATGTATTTATATTTAAAGTCAATTAATTTATTGTTGAGGACTATGTTATTTTGATTTCTAACCAATTTTAACTGGTATCACAATTCTTTTCTAGAGTGTATAAATGCCTTCTTAGGACATTTTTTTCTTCTGTGAAGTATTTTTGATGGACTTTTTTTGTGTGTGAGAATTTAACTTTAGTTTTATGAGTCTGAGTTTTCTAAAATTCAAAATACAAAGGATGACCTACATGTTTTTGAAAGTAACTTCAAAACTCTAAAGTCTGAAGTTTGTAATCTTTGCATTAAAACTCAATAATAAATCCTTTTCTGTAAGCATATAAATAAAATTATTTTCTGGATCACTCCATTAGCTTTTACAGAACACCCAAAGTGTGCTTATCACTGTACTACTATCTTCTGTATTTCATTAACAAGCTTCAGTAGGTTTCTACTTAAAGATTCATAGTTATTAAGCCAAAAAAAATGGCTAATTTTTAGGTGGTTAACTGTCAAGTGTTCAAAAAGGGGCATAACCCCAGAGGACTAAAGTCCAAGGGACTTAGGAATAGGCGTTTAGGTAGATGGAGACACAGCAAAACCCTGTCATTACATAGTAAGTGAGGTCTAAGTAATCCATTTATGTGAACTTTGAGTTGATTCCTGCTAGTCTGATAAAGCAATAGTTTTCAGAACTATGTTAATAGCATAAAAGTAAAGATAATTCAGACCACACATTGAATCGAAGAAGTCCCATATTATCTGGAGGCATTCACGTCTACTCACCCCATAAGCAGAAGATAAAATTTTAATCCTACTTGAGAATAGAGCAAAAGAGAGAAGTACATCATTTTGTTGTGTCCTAACTGCTGAGAGATAATGTTGGTTTGCACTGGGATGGTAGCGGTAAAGGTGGTATAAAATAATAAATTTATGGGCACCATTTGAATTTTCTGATTGATGAGATGCAGTAGTTGAGCAAGAGAGAAAAAAATTAATTAGAGGTGGCTCTCAGGTTTGTTCTGTTGTTGTTTTCTACTTTATTTTGTTTCTGCCTAGGCTAGCAGAAGGATATTTCCATTTAATGCAATGGCAAAGACTAAAAGGGGAGCAAGTTTAGGGTAAGTGATGGTGGGACGGGAGCTCAGCTTTGGTATGACCATTTTATGAAGCCTTTTAAATGTCCAAGTGGAGGTGATGGAGGCCGTTGAGTAAAGAATCTGGAAGCTACGGTAGAGTTCCAAGCCGAAGGTACAAATATGAGAGTTGTAGTCTATAGATTTCACCATCATGAGCCGATATGAGGATAACTAGGACTTAAATTTAAATAGAGATGATAAAAGAACCCAAGATTGCCCCCTGGAGGCACCTGATTGCTCATATGCTAGGAACTGTGGAAGAATTCAGTAAGAACAGTTAGTGAGAGGGGAGAACCACAAAGGAGTGTGATGCCTTAGAGTGAAGTGTCAAAAGCGATTAAAGAAGAGAGAGACATTTGGCCAATACATCAAATATGTTGAAGCCTGAGAACTGACCATTGCTTTTTACCACATTTGTATTATTAATAAGAACAATTGCATTGAAGGGCCAGGAACAAAACTGAATAGGATTGTGTTCACAAGAGAATGAAAATAAAGGATTTGAACAGAATATAAATAATTATTTAAAAATAACATACGTATTATATTTACATATAAATATTTATAATTTATAAATAATATGTATGTTATTTATAAATAACATATATTTATAAATTATATGTTTATTATTTATAAATAAATCATTTATACATATATATTATATTATGCCATAATAATATTATATTATCATTTATAACTGCAACCTCTGCCTCCCAGGTTCGAGCAATTCTCCTGCCTCAGCCTCCCGAGTAGCTGGGACTACAGGCATGCACCACTATGCCTAGCTAGTTTTTGTATTTTTAGTAGAGATGAGGTTTTGCTATGTTGGCCAAGATGGTCTCGATCTCTTGACCTCACGATCCGCCTGCCTCAGCCTCCCAAAGTGCTGGGATTACAGGCGTGAGCCACCGTACCCAACTTTTTTTTTTTTTAAATAAAAATGTTGTTCCTGTAAGAAGGGAGAAAATTAGCATATTTAAAATGTGGGTGTGAATGATTACTGCAGAAGGAGAAATATTGATGACTTAGAGAAAGGGAAAAGTTACTGTCGAGAGTCCTTGGGTAGGTAAGAAGGGAGGCGTCTAGGACATTCTTGATGGAGCACGGACTGCTCAGCCCTGGTAAGAGGACAGATGCCACGTTATGTGGATGAATATATCATGAATGAATGAAAGACTAAAAACTGGCATGAAAAGTTCCCAAACCTGGTTGTCTCAAGTCAATACATAGATCTAAATCAGGAGCCAAATTATGGAGATAAAATTTGTGAAAAACCATCAGAGCAGCTGAGAATAACTAGTAGAAAAAGAAACAGAAAGGTAGAATTAAAGAACAGTCCTTTCTCCCTGTTTCTCCAAAAGCTTCAGTACAGTTAAAGCTGCCAAGTGGAGAAGAGCTGGAGCCTTGGGTCTAGGACAAGCTCTAGTGGGAAAATAGTGGGCTAGGAAAGTAAACCAAGATGGAAGCCTGTTCCATGCCTGTGCTGCGGAGGCACAGAGGAATTACTCCCATCAGGACACACTCAGACCTCACCTCAAAGACAATCACAGGTAGACATTCAGATGGCAGCAGGAACCCTGACCAGGTGCACATATGGGAGACAGTCATTTGTGGGCCATGCCCCAAACCTGGTGAGGTCAATCATATCCCAAACATTATTTTATTACTGTCCTCACTGTAAGCACATGCACTAGGGTTTGAAAAATGTGTATGTGTCTTGTTAACTAGAATTTTCCTTTCTTTCCTACTTTCCCTCCCCCAACATGTTTTTCTAGAATTTTAATTTAAAATACGAATATCTCTGGAGGGGGCAGAATACTAGTAAAGTTTTCTAGTTGTTGAGATTTCTCAGGTGTCTTTCTTATCCAAAATCAGGACCCACGTACGGTGTGAGGACAGAGATAGTATCTGGATAGGTAAGAGAGGAAGTTGGAGAGAGAAAAGTGAAACAGGCCAAACAAATAATGATAGGACAGGATGAGGAGGCTAAAGTCTTTAACCTCCTTATAATAGACTGGCTGTGGAATCTCAAATGATCTAGTCTCAGTACTCATGGTAACGTCCACATTCAATTTTATTTCATTCATATGGTGACTGGATATCTCAGAGTTCTGACAATTTAAAAAGTATAACAGTCTTTCACTCTTTTCGGAACTGCTGCCACGTTCTTAATAAAAAAATGTGTTTTTAGTATTTTGAGAAAGTCCATAGCAAGTCGCTAGTCACACTGGCATTTTGGGATTCCAGGGATGGTGAAAGATACAGAGGACCAACATCTAAGCCTAACACATGTTTTAATATTTTTAGCATGCAATTTACGTTGAGTAGAGGGAAATCAATGAGGCATTAATAAACATAGTCTAATTACTTAAAATTATGTAACATATCTGCTGAATGCCTTTTAAAAATATACCGCAGTTTAGTATATAGAATATACATGCTGAAAATCTAAAGATGGGGCATGTTTGACCTTGAAAAGGCATTGATGATAATTCTCTGTGAAATATGCCAGTTGCAATTTCAGAAATGTGCAGACTGCCAAGGATTGCTTAAAAAATGGAAATAGGATTTCATATGATTGACCTTCTGGATCACATATGTGCTGAAATGCCTTTTGTGCTGATGCTGGGAAGCTTAAAACACTGAGCTCTTAGAAAAAGAATATCCTCATCACTTTCTCAGTGT